AACAAGAATATATATGATATTAAGGATCCATCACCCTAAGGTAGCTATGAAAAAATTAACACTTCATCAAAAAGAAGGAAGATAATTGATAGGTGTTTGTAGAGTATGACAAAAATTTAAAAGCTTAGAGAAATATTTTTAGAGTGGACAAACATCCCTTTACCGAGCAATAATGAAAGCTAACAATAGGTAAAGATCACTGGATTTGTTGAATGTAACTAAAATTGGTTTTCCTCCAGATGGAACCTGCGAAATGGCCAAGACCCAAGAGGAATCAATAGGCCCTCCGTGGGTGACTTAACATATAAACTCAGCCAACAATATGTGGACAAAGACTCATTGAACAACCGGTTGAGGGATGTGAGTTTGTTTATGGAAATGGAGTAGTTTACGATAGCAATTCAGGAACAAGTCATTGCCAACAGAAATTACAGAAAAGTTTCCCTTAAGTAGCCTTGACTTATTGATCAATGCAGATTACGAAAAAAAATGTTAGAAACTGTGCAACACATTACTATAAGTTGAAAAAATTTAGCATCTACCAAACACCTAGCAAGACACAATTTGGTGTCTAGAATTATACATCATAAGCTTGCTATAGTTCAAAAAACTAATAGATGATTAATAGTGATAATAGCTAACATTTATTTAGTGCTTTAAGCAGAGGTGAACTGGAACCAGCTTGCTCAGCAGAGTTGACTGTTAAATTTCTGGTGAGTATTTACACCTTGGAAACCTGCAAACACTACAAAGGGATTGATTTATTGTTTTGTTGTTTGTCTAGATTTAAGAAAGTGATGGAGGAAATGTTAATACTATAAATTAAACCTAAAATCGCGTTATGAAGGTTATTTTTCCCTCCAGGAAGCTGGTTGTTAAACGTTTACCAACACACCACTGGCTTTAACATTTGCAAGGTGCTTTATCATATTTATTATATTATATTATTTACTGTATTATCTGATTTGGTATTCACAACAACATTGTGAAATAGGTGCTATTATTTTACCTAGTTTGTTGACGCGGAAACTGAGACACTCAGAGAAGCTGACTGATTTGTCTAGGGTCACTCACCCTGGATACCAGTATCTGAGATGGTACTCAAACCCAGATTTTTCTGATTCCAAGTCCAGTGCTTTATCCATTGTATTGTACGGCCTTAAACTATACTTTAGAATTAGATGAATAAGCTGTACTGGAAGCCCAGCACCATCCCTGACAAAACTGTTGCTCACAATTGCCCAGATACAACATTGACCCATAAAAGTTAAGAATATTATTAATATGTTTACCAAACAAAACACTCATAAATATTCAACTACATGGAATGAAAAACCTTCAGAATAGATGCAGTTGAAATTAAACCATGTGGGAACATGATGAGATACATATTATCTTCCTTCTCCTGCGAACTACTAGAGTCAGAAAGACCTGAGTTCAAGTCCATCCTCGGACACTTACTAGCTATGTAATTCTGAGCAGTTTTCTCAACTGTAAAATGCGAATAAGAATAGCACCTAACTTTCGGGGTTGTTGTGAGGATCACATAAGATCATATTTGTAAAATACTTAGCAAAGTACCTGGTATATAGTAAGAACTTAATAAAATGTTTTCCCTATTTTTTTTTTGGTAAGGCAATTGGGGTTAAATGACTTGCCCAGAGTCACACAGCTAGTGAGTGTTATGTGTCTGAGGCTGGATTTGAACTCAAGTAGTCCCGACTTCAGGGCCCGTGCTCTATCCAATGCGCCACCTATCTTTTTTTTTTTTAAGGAAGCCACCACATTCCCTGTGTTTTCAATGAGCCAGCCGAAGATGAGCTTATATTCCTATAATGTTGGAAAAATAACATTCCTATAATGTTATTTAATTAGAAAAATATATTTACCCATCCATGCAATAGTCTGCACAACATTAAATACAAAAGAATAGTAGGACAGTGATTTGTCCTAGGGCCATTTTAATTTGAACTCTACTAAAAATATGAGAATGGGTTGAATAATAATAATAATAATAATGCCAGTCAGTCAACAAGCATTTATTAAGCACATACTATATGTAATGCGTTGTGATAAGTGCTGGAGATATAAAGAAAGGCAGAAAGAAAGAAAGAAAGAAAGAAAGAAAGAAAGAAAGAAAGAAAGAAAGAAAGAAAGAAAGAAAGAAAGAAAGAAAGAAAGAAAGAAAGAAGGAAAGAAAGAAGCAGGGTTTTGGGATGACCTCACACGTAGCCTTGATGGGTTGGATGGTCTAAGCTGGTTGACAACCAACAGCCCTTATTCTTTTCTGATTACTATTATCTCATTTCCTTATGAAGTTTCTACCAAGGTTCTAAGTGGATCAAGGGATATATCTTAATATTTCCTCATAAATTAACAGAATTGCACAGTCTCATCAGTTGATCAATTAGCTCTGAGCCCACATACCCAGTTTACAAATAAACCAGAAAGAATTTTCCCCATAAACTTTCAGTCATTTCTCTCTCTTACTAGCAAACCTAGGTCTCATAGGCTAAGACAAACATCGGTGTTACTGACTATACAATTTACTAACATTTTAACACCCAATTCAAAGATATATTTGAATATTTCAGCAGCATATCAGCCATGAGAAAGATCACATTCCTAGTCACTTTTAACTATTGAGTTGTAACTGCAACGCTAGAACTCTTGTCCCACAGTTCCATTCTCTCACCATGGCAGATAAAATCTCTTCTCAGGATATATCCTCCATAGAACAAAAGTTAAACTCAGTTCTCTTAATGTCTTTTCAGATTCTTTCTGTATAATAGCTAATCCACTGATTCTCTCTGAAAGATATTTTCCTAGTTCTTTTGCTCTTTGCCTTACATAGTATCTCTCTAAGCCATGTCAGTTAATTCATTCCAGATGACAGTTATACCATTTCCCCCCAAGATTCTAGTTCTCCTTAAAGACACAGAAAAAGTATCCAATCTCTGTGGGATGGCTATTGAAGTTGATGTTACAGCAATAATATTTTTTTTTGTTTTCTTATTTTAATAATATTTTATTTTTCCCAATTACATGTTAAGACAATTTTTAACATTCATTTTTTAAAATTTTGAGTTCCAAATTCTCTCTTGCCCTCTCTCCCCTCTCCCCTTCCTGAGACAGTAAGTAATTTGATATAGGTTATTCATGTGCAATCATGCAAATATTTTTTAAAAGATAAGAATAATAATTTTTTTGACTGGACCTATGATTTCATTGGTGTGTGAAACTTCCTCCAATATAGATCAGAAACTGTTGCTCTGCATCAGTAACTACAGCTTATAGTCTTAGAGAATTGGCTGGAGCACTGAGAGGATAAGTGATTTGTCCAGTGTAACATCCAGCTAGTATGTGATGGAACCAGGGCTTGAATTCAGGTCTTCCTGACTCTGAGGCCATGCTGCTTCTTTTAGTAATAATGACCTTCCATTTACATAGTATGATAGGGTTTGTAAAATCAAATTCAACATGATGTGACTATGACATGGCACCCACAAAAGTTTATGTGATCTTAGAAACATATGTGACCATGGGATGAATGATGCCCAGAATGAGAAAGGTGATTGTTTCACGGCACCTTGCCCTGATCAGATATGGTATCTGTGGTATCCATTTCAGCTTGGAGATCTGTCTTTTAAGAATGACATTATGGGGCAGTTAGGTGACTCAGTGGATAGAGCACCGGCCCTGAAGTCAGGAGGACCACAGTTCAAATTTGGCCTTGGACCAAACACTTGACACTTACTAGCTGTGTGACCCCGGGCAAGTCACTTAACCCCAATTGCCTTTAAAAAACAAAAAGAATGACATCAACACATTGAAAACAGTTCAGAGGAGGATGCCTGGATGGTAAAGGGACTGAGAACTGTGACATTCGAGGACTAGCTGAAAGAAGTGGGATGTTTAATCTGGAGAGAACTTTTGAGGGGAGCATGATAACTGAAGGGTTGTCAGAAGGGGAGAAGGGTCAGACTTATTCTGTTTGACCCTAGCTGGTAGAACTGGAAGCAAAACTAGAAGCAATTGTGTGGAAGATTCAGAGGCAAGATATTAGCCACCATGTGAGGAGTGAAATCTTAACCTGGAGAGCCAAAAGTAAAATGCCTCCTTATTTAGTGCATTCGCCGTTACTGGAGGTCTTCAAGCACTGGAAGTATGGAGTCTCTTGCACAGGTAGAGGTTGAACTAGAGTGTCAGAGTGGATGAAGTGCTAGATGGGGACTTTGGAAGATCTGAGTTCAAATCTTGTCTCTGACATTTGCCAGCTGTGTGGCTATGAGCAAGTTGTTTAACCTCTCTGGGCCTCAGTTCTTTGGCCTGTAAAAAATGGGGCTCACCTACTCTCCAGGGTTGTAAGTGAGGTTCAAATAAGGTAAGGTCTGTCAAGCACTTTGAAAACTAATTTAAAGTGCTATATTGGTGTTGTTAGCTGTTGGTTATTAGATGATTTCTGAAGTCCCTTTCGACCCTGAGATCTTGTGATGCTGTGATGAAACCTGACCCCATTCCAGCTCACTACAAAATTTAACTCTTTTGGTTTATAAACTGCAGTTACTTAATGGACTTGGGGATGTGCTGGGGGGGGTGGGGAGAAGGGAGAAGGAGGGGGTTTTGTAACGCTTTACCTGCAGGGGGCACTGTCAGATCAAGGCTCCCCTCTAGGCCACCTTCTCCATTTTCTATGGTGGTGTCGGGTGTCTGTCGGACTCCCCCCTCCCTACACCTAGCCCCATCCCCTCCCTCCCTGGGCTCGGTGCTGCCTACGCCCACACCCGCCAGCAGGGGGAGCGCGCGGGCTTCGAGGTTCCGACACACTTCTTGCTCTTGGGAGTTGAAAATTCCTCCCCCCCCGCGCGAGGTGGGGAGAGCTAAGCAGAGGGAAGAGGAAGAGGAAGAAGGGAGGGGGAGAGGGAAAGGGAGGGGAGGAGGAGTCAGGGGCGCGAGCAGGGGCCGGGACCGGAAGTGTGCGGTTGCCATGTAATATCCTGAGAGCAAGCGCGAGCCAGCGGGAGAGCGAGCGGGCGGGCGGGCGCTGAGGCGGTGCCGAGGACGGGCAGAGGCGGTTGAGGCGGGGGCAGCGGCGGGCGGGCCCGGCCGGTGTCAGCGTTAGGAACTGTCTGGCTGCCAGTCTGTTTGTCTGTCTGTCGCTAGCTGGGTCGGGGCCGGCCGGGAGGTCTGGCTGCGGGAGGCGGCATGTCGGTGGCCGGGCTCAAGAAGCAGTTCTACAAGGCGAGCCAGGTGAGCGGCGTGGGGGGCGGAGGGACCACCGACCGACCGACGGACCGGCTGATGCTCGCACGCTCCAGGCGGGGCCCGCCGTCCCTGTCCCTCGCCCCTGGAGCGGGGAGCCGGCCCGCAGGGGTGGGGAGGGGGGCCGGAGTCACTAGTCTGGAGAGGCCCCCGCCCCCCAGGATGGATGGAGCCCCTGGGGGTGGGAGTGGGAGTGGGACTGACGTCGCCCCAGAGGTTGTGCAGAGAGGCCGGCCCTGGCCCCCACCCCAGGAGGATGGATGGAGCTCCAGGGGGAGGGGGAGGGGGAGGGTGACATCACTCCAGATGTTGTGGGGGAGGCCACCTCTGTTGCCTGCCGTAGGAAGATGAGTAGACTCTTCTGGGGGAAGTGACACTGGTACAGAGATTGTCCAGAAAGGCCAGTCCTGTCCTGAGATCGTAGAATCAGGATGGGTAGAGCCTGTGGTAAGAGGTAATTTTCGTCTAGAGGCTGCTCAGGGAGGCCTGCGCTGGCTATATCCTTAGAGGATGGATGGAGCTCCCGGGGGGAAGTGACATTAGTCTACAAGTTGTCTCTGGAGGCCAGCACTATTGGGAACACGGGTAAAACCTCTGGAATAAAATGAAATTGGGTCATAGATTGTCCAGGGAGGCTCTTGAGAGGGTGGATAGAACACATGAGGAGAAGTGACATTGATCTAGAGATTGTCCAGAGAGGCCAGCACTATTCTTTCCCTTGGGAGGATGGATAGAGTCTATGCAATAGAGAAAAATGGGCCAGTGACTACCCATTGGCACATAGACATTGCCCACTGCCCCAGAAGGATTAGGAGAGCCTCTTGAAGGAGAGAAATGAGGTCTAATAGGTTATTCAGATATATTGGCACATGGTCATCTTCCCTGGAAGGTTGGGTAGAACTTGTGGGGGAAAGAGAAATCAATTCAGAGGTTGTTCTGGGATGTGAGTCATAGGCACTGCCTCTTGCTTTGGGAGGATGGAGGAAGTCTGTGGGGGCACAGTGGCCAAGAAGCATCTATCTGTTCAAGAAGGGATAGGTAGGCTTATGCTTATTCTTTACATGGCAGGAGTATCCTGAAATGCCAGCAAGAGGTATGGGGATACTCCTTTCTTTTACAGAAGGAATAGCCAGCATAGGTTTTGGGAGAAGGGACATAATAACTCTCTGAGTTAAGGTTTCTACTTAAGGTGCCTCTTCCACGGATACCCTTTGGGTCTCTCAGGTTAGCAGACAAGACATTTTATTTTAAAGAGTCTACATTCACAATTCCGGCCTTGAGAGAATTCCAACTGCATTGTTTAGAATCCAGTATCCATAGACCTTATTTGGTGTACTTTGAAGCATTGCCCTGAAAATTTACTTAGTTTATGTATAAATTTGTCTCTTCTATTATTTTTGAAGCCTACTACTATATTTCCTTGATAACTTGTTTGTGTTATTTGTATGTTTTTCTCATTCTAACCATTAACATCTTCTTATCCCCCTCCACACTACCAGAGGAGATGGAACTATTTCCCAGGAGAGGCTCCTTCCTGTGTACTTTTGAAGCAGAATTTTGAACTTGGAGACTTATTTCAATATTTTTAAATTGGAAAAAAGAGATGCTGAGTGAATTTGGAAGAGTTTAAAATTGCATATTAAAAAACAAAACACCAAAAACTGGGTTGGTGAACTAAGGCTTTGATTTACTTAAAAGTTGGTTTTGCTGCTAACCAACTCAAGCAAATTTCCACACTAATTTATCTATTCAAACCTTTCAGGTTATGTTAAAAATGTATTTAAGCTTTGGTGTGTTTGCCCCTACTGGAGAGTTTACAAGGAGTTTCAGCTTTCTGTAATGTAAACTGTCTTTCTCCTGGAATGCCATTACAGGCTAAAGGAGCGAAACTTCTTTAGAGCTACTCTGAGACGAAGAAGAGTACTATGGAGAGGAAAAGCAGTAAAATAACTAGCCATCTGTCTGATCACCATCCATTTTACTCCCCTCTGTTCTGCGTAACACCTACCCACCCTTTTTGCTCCCCTTACCATCTGTCTGACCTCTTTTATTTGTAGCACCTCTAGAATTGAAAGGAGGTCTTTATTTGTGCATTTTGAGGGCAAGGGGGAACAGAGCGTCCTGCACTGGTGAGATACTAAAATGTAGTTTTGATACTGAGTGCAGGTATAGGTATGTGTTTTTATGAAGTTATTCCCGGGCCTAAATAGCAAGTCTAAGTGACTTGCTGATAATTCTTGTGGTTTTTTACCACAACGGAGATTTGAGTTAGTACCTAAGGCTCCAACGGGTGATCAGTGGGAATGCAGTGCCCACCATTATTGCTTGAAAGGAGGGAACGAATGTTCAAAGTAGAAGATTTGTTCAGTCTGAAAAAGGAGAAGTGACTCTTGCTGTGACCTTTGCCTTTGAAACTTCTTGTATATTCGTTAGGCTCTGTTTTGGGTTCCCGGCAGTCGGGAAGGAATCCTTAGGGGAGGGCTGAGGAGAAAACAGGGAGGTACTACAAGGTACAGAGGGATATTTTATACCTAACCTATTAGATGTCAGAAATGGTATGAGATAGGTCTTCTAAAATACCAGTCTTGTTCCAAGAGTGGAGCACTTTGCTAATGCTCATTACTGTGGCCTTACTCAAATTTTGTTTGTGTTTTAAACCCAGTTTTGGGATAAAGTTTTGATATTCTATTGAAATATTGGGTTTTATAAATAAGAAACCATCTGACATCATAAAACAGACTTTAGGCATCAGAACATTTATCCTTTTTGCCGTAGTACCAGTGGAATGTTAGGGCTGATGCTTTAGAAATACGAAATGATACAAAAGACCAGGAGCACAGCCTAGAGCTGGGGTCCTTAACTTTTTCTGTGTCGCAGACTCATTTGTAAACTTGTAAACTTTTCTCAGAATAATGTTTTTAAATGTATAAAATAACATACATAGGATTACAAGGGAAACCAATTCTATTAAAATATTTATAAAAATATTTTACAAACAAAGTCACAGACTCCTAGGCCTAGAAAGGAAGTCTGCTTGTAGGTACTTAACAGCATGTCAGTAGAGGGTTGTCGTGTCTTTTAGTATGGACCCTCTTCCTTTAAAGAAGCTGGCATTGGAAGTTGGAAAGGATTTTGCAACTGAGATACTTATGTAGAATGGAATTAATTCAGGGTTAATGTTGTATGTGTGTGCTGTGCAGGAAGCTATGATGCCTGGATTCTGATAAACTAGCAAGTTTACTGACAGTTGTAATATAAGTACTTGTCCTAGCAGTAACTTTAGGTTTAGATGTTCCTGTTGGGAACTGAGTAACTACTGAATGATCAGGAACTGATAGTTCATTAAGTATTTTGCAATTAATTGCAATATGCCTTAATTAGCCAGTAGGTTTGTATTTTAGGCACCTATTATATTCTTACTATTGCAAAGTTCCCTAAGGAGTGCAAAAGCAAGATTAAGACAGTCCGTACACACCAGAAGCTTAGAGAGTCTAATTGAATCACTGAGCCACTCTAGTGCCTCTTTGACCTATTAGTAAAAAAAAAAAAAAGGTTGAACTTAACCTTCTTCACAAAACTATAAATGGATATGACACTTGGTAAATATGAAATACTTTGCAATTTATTGTTATAATTAAGGACTTTTGTGTTGTGATCTTAGACCTCAAATGTTGCTTTGTAAATAAGGTAAAAGTTGAAAGTTCATTTCTAAGAACCTATATATTTAGTAAAGACTTCAGGTTGCACTGTCTTATCTAATCACTGTTCTTAGCTCTGGTTACTTTTTTTTTTAACCCTAAAGATACCAAAGCACTTTTATTATAAAGGCTCATAGCTTCCTTTGATTGCTATGCCATGGCAGCTCTTTTTTCCGTTTGAGAAATAGAGTTACAAAATGTTTTTGAGGGACCTGTATACCTCTGGCATAATCCGTGAATTAGCCACTTTGTCTTCCAAACTGCAATTTATGTTTTCTTCTCCTAACAGAAAAAACTATGTACATTCAACCTTAAAATTGCTTCTTCAATTTGACTGTTCAGGCTTTGTATGGTTTATAATAGAGACATGAGGATACAATGTGCCCTAAGTCTCATCTTGGCCCTTCTCTTACTCCGGCTCATGCCAACATTTTGAAACTGATCTAATCTGGAGAAACTTCATTTTAATTCAAGGCTTTTAGCCAACTTGCATGATATGATTTAAGAAATGAACTGCACATTTTGGCATTGCAGGGTAGTCGGGGGAGTGGGGAGATGGTGGTAAAATTGTCTCCTGGTATTTCTTATTTTCAAGATGAGTGTAATTGTTTCTTTGCTTTAGTAGTGTTTTATTGTAAATAATCAAGGGCTTCGAAACAATCTGGTACTGGCTAAGAAATAGAGTAGTGGATCAGTGGAGTAGATTAGGTTCACATTACATTAAATGACCATAGTAATCTAGTATATGATAAACCCAAAGATCCAAATTTTGGGGACAAAAACTCATTATTTGACAAAAACTGCTTTGAAAACTAGAAAGCAGTATGGCAGAAACTAGGTATAGATCAACATCTCACACCATATACTAAGATAAGATCAAAATGGCACGTGATTTACATATACCATAAGCAAATTAAGAGAGCATGGAATAGTTTGTCTGTCAGATTTATGGAGAAGGGAAGAATTTAGGACCAAAGAAGATATAGGGAACATTACAAAATGTAAAATAGAGAATTTTGAGTATATAAAATTAAAGTTTTTGTAAAAGCAAAACCAGTGTAACCAATATTATAAGGAAAGTAGAAAACTGGGGGAAAATTTTTGCAACCGGTATCTCTGATAAAGGCGTGTATCTCAAATATATAGAGAACAGAGTCAAATTTGTAAAAATACAAGTCATTCCCCAATTGATAAATGATCAAATAATATGAACAGGCAGTTTTCAGACAAAGAAATCAAAGCTATCTATGGTCATATGAAAAAATGCCCTAAATCACTGTTGATCAGAAA